TAGAGTGTAAGTCCCAACCCCTTTTAATTTTCAAATCATTAAAATCCACGAGCCTCTGTTAGAGTGTAAGTCCCTTCCCTTTTCTCAAAACTTTCTTCAATTTCTCAAAGCTTTCAATCTTTCAAAACTCAAATCTTCAACTTTCATCAAACACAACCCTAGTGAAATTCAACTTTTAAACTCTCTTGGGCCTCTGCTTAAAGAGTAGGACCCAACACCTTTTCTTTTCTTTGCAATCAATCTTGGGTCTCTGTTTAGAGTGTAAGATCCAACACCTTTGTACATAGAATAAATCTTGGGCCTCTGCTTAGAGTGTAAGACCCAATATCTTCGTACATAGAATAAATCTTGGGCTTTTGCTTAGAGTGTAAGACCGAACACCTTGGTACATAGAATAAATCTTGGGTCTCTGCTTAGAGTGTAAGATTCAACACCTTTATACATAGAATAAATCTTGAGTCCCTGCTTAGACTGTAAAACCCAACACCTTTGTGAATAAAATAAAACACAAAAATAAAATATTTAACACATCCAGCCCTAAAAGATGTGCAATCTTCCATGAATTCAAACATGTCATATCAATGTATATACTTGTGAATATTCAATCATGTTTGTTCATATTTTGTTAAGTTTCTTTTGACATTTACATCATCCTTATATTAGACATATGTCAGACAATAAGATCCCTTCACTCACAACTTAGTTCAAACAACTAGTTCCCTGACCTCTTCTTGACCTTTATACAAGCATCATTGCCTCCTCTTGGACATCGATCATACAAAGAATCTCCCAACAAGATAGTCTCATCTTGAGTTTCATACAAGGAGACTTGGGAAATCTCATTCAGCTTCCCACAGCCTTCTTTTGAGCTTCATATAAGGACCCTCAGTCTTCTCAAAAGCATAAGTTAAGTCTTAGTAATCTATACAAATAAGTTCTTTGAAACAAGTTAAATGAATAATTACATTCTAACAATTTTATATAAATTATAACTTAATAGTTATGTGATCAAACAACCAATATTTACTTTGTTTTTTAAAAGTTATCATATGTTCATTTAAAATTATCTAATAAAAATAATAAAAGATTTAAAATTTTCAAAATATATGTAAAATTCATCTACTCAATAAAAACTTTTGATTTTATGGTCAGATTAATGAATTTACTATTTAGAATTAATTATTTAACGAGGTAACGCATCGCACACTTATTTCTAGAATCAACATACACAAACTAATGCATCTTACTAGTCCATTAAGCCTAACGACCAAATTTAACACATCAAGCCCTATCACTTTGCAAGCTTTTTCATCCTCTAAGATCGGAAAGAATATTGTTGAATCACATAATATCTTCAACCTTGAACTATAAGTCAAGGATTTTATCTCTTAACAAGTAATAATCATCATTGCAAGTCCATGGAGTCAAGTTTGTTTTTATGCATTTAAGTGAAATATTGAATTGACATGAAATGAGCCACATCAGTTCAGATATGTTCAAAACAATGAGTGTTCAAACCTGCAAATGGAAATTGAGTCAAGATTCTATTCATGCTATAGAAGACTTTTGGTACCTTGACATTTAAGTTAAAGGCTACATGGCTATATCCATTGGACAATAGCATGCTCCCTCATCCAACACTATTCATCCAAAACCAAAACATTTTCCTATAAATAGAGGACTTCTCTGATCAATCCAAAGACACCAAAACAATATCAAAGCTTGTTTTCTCTCATTTCTTTCTTTCACTCCAAGTTTTCAAAGTTTCAAAGAGTAAACTTCTAGTTTTTAAAACCAAAGCTTAAACCACTCAAAAAATCATACAAACACATCACAAATCATCCCTTGAAGGTGTTCAAACCTTCATCTTCATCCCAAACCACCAAAATCAGAAAGTCAACTATCAAAACCTCATCTCTATGACTTTCTGCATTTTCAAAGCCATGTCTTGATTATGTCCATTTCAAAACCATCCAAGACTCCAAATATTCTCTAAATAATATTCTTAAATTGTTCCAATCATAATTTCTCAACTGTAACACCATTTGGTATAGTTTCCACTTTGGCTGCTTTTGACACATTTTGCAAGAAGGAGCCAGATTCTGTTCTAGAGGTTTCCCTTTTTTCCAAGCATCTAAGAGGCTTCTATAAGGTGTATTGGTGGTGTCCAAAGCATTGGTTTACTTCTGTAGCAAGTTTCTTGAAAGTTGGCAAGGGATCTTCAAGAGGTAAGCTTTCAAAGAACTTGAAATTTAAGAAATATGCTTTGCTTTGATGTACATTGATCATGATCATGTCGTATATGTCTTAATTGCTATGTTGGAATCATTTTATAGTGTTATTATTGATTGTGTATAGTTGTAGAATAGAACTTGCAAATTTGAAGCCTTTTAGGAACCACTATCGGGTTTTAAAATATAGGAACTTTTAGAAAAATATAAAACCACCGTTGAATTCCTCATGAAATTCTAGGCATGATCCATCTTTGTTTCATCCATTTTAATGGAGAAATGAATAAGTTATGCCCTTCTTGCAAATGAAGAAAACTTGTTCCTTGCCCAAGCCAACCAGGTCATGGCGTCTTTATTCTGGCCAGGCCTAGGTAATGTTCAGCCTTATCATTTAATGGGTGTGGTTTGATACACAGATGTATCACCACCCTAATGGTTAAACCTGTGCCCACTTGTTACCTTTCACCCTTTGAAACTGGGGTTCGAATCCCCCTCGCCCTAGTTTCTTTTATTTTTCTAATTTTTTAAATAGTTAACACATATAATAACCATCTTCCACCCTTTAGTCTCCATGTGCGTGTGGTTGAGTTGGCTATTATTTTGATTTGTAGGCGAGAAAACCTGAGTTCAAGTCCCATGGGGACAATTCCCCATCTTTTTAATCACTTGTTTTCTTACTTTCCTTCACAAATTCAAACTATCATAACTTTATAATTTTTTTTATCATTTTAAACCCATTCTTTTTGCAAATTGTTTATGATAACGTCTATTTTCTATTTGTAAAAATAAAATATCAAAAATAATTATTTTTCTCATATATATGAGTGCTTAAAGTGTGTGACTTTTTAGGGTTTCTTAAGTTTCTTTTTTATTCTTTTGAATGGTTCCTTTCCTTTCCTTTCCTAAAATGACTTGTTTGAACCATATACATCTTGTATGAATCTTAAATGATATTGTGAATTTTTACATCCTTGGCCTTACTTGGTTTTAATGCATTTTCAAGTGTATGTTTACATGTAAATAAATGTTGAACTTTCAATCATGCCATTAATTTTTTGCTTGATCTTTTTCCTTAACACGTTGATTCTCTTCCATGTTTATACCACTTCGATATCTATATATGTCTTTGTGTTGATTATATCATGTTCATGTGCTCCTAAAACACTTGAAATTTTCCTTGAAAATACTTTTATATGCATGTTTATTTGTATGAACCTTTGTGATGTTTCCACTTTGTTCAAAACCATGTTTGAACCCTAATATCCATGTTTCGTTGTTACTAACATGTTCAATTTGTATCCTTACTTGAATTTCTCCGTAATTGCTTCCATGGCTTAAACCTTTGCTTACATGTTCAAGTATTTTCTTTATAAACTCTTACCATGATAAAGATATCTCTTTGAAATACACATCATCTTTTCAATCAACTTTTAAATTCTCTTGGACTTATCCTAGAGTGTAAGTCCCAACCCCTTTTAATTTTCAAATCATTAAAATCCATGAGCCTCTATTAGAGTGTAAGTCCCTTCCCTTTTCTCAAAACTTTCTTCAATTTCTCAAAGCTTTCAATCTTTCAAAACTCAAATCTTCAACTTTCATCAAACACAACCCTAGTGACATTCAACTTTTAAACTCTCTTGGACCTCTGCTTAGAGTGTAGGACCCAACACCTTTTCTTTTCTTTTCAATCAATCTTGGGTCTCTGTTTAGAGTGTAAGATCCAACACCTTTGTACATAGAATAAATCTTGGGCCTCTACTTAGAGTGTAAGACTCAATATCTTTGTACATTGAATAAATCTTGGGCCTTTGCTTAGAGTGTAAGACCCAACATCTTTGTACATAAAATAAATCTCGGACATCTGCTTAGAGTGTAAGATCCAACACCTTTATAAATAGAATAAATATTAGGCCTCTGCTTAGACTGTAAAACCCAACACCTTTGTGAATAAAATAAAACACAAATAAAATATTTAACACATCAAGCCCTATCAATGTATATACTTGTGAATCTTCAATCATGTTTGTTCATATTTTGTTAAGTTTCATTTGACATTTACATCATCCTTAGTTTAAACATAGGTCAGACAATAGGATCCCTTCAATCACAATTTAGTTCAAACAACTAGTTCCCTGACCTCCTCTTGACCCTTATACAAGCATCATTGCCTCCTCTTGGGCATCATCATACAAAGAATTCCCCAACAAGATAGTCTCCTCTTGAGTTTCATACAAGGAGACTTGGAAAATCTCATTCAGTTCCCCACAACCTTCTTTTGAGCTTCATACAAGGACCCTCAAGCTTCTCAAAAGCATAAGTTAAGTCTTAGTAATCTATACAAATAAATTCTTTGAACCAAGTTAAATGAATAATTACATTCTAACAATTTTATATAAATTATAACTTAATAGTTATGTGATCAAACAACCAATATTTACTTTGTTTTTTAAAAGTTATCATATGTTCGTTTAAAATTATCTAATAAAAATAATAAAAGAATTAAAAATTTCAAAATTTATGTAAAATTCATCTACTCAATAAAAACTTTTGATTTTATGGTCAGATTAATGAATTTACTTTTTAGAATTAATTATTTAACGAGGTAACGCATCGCACACTTATTTCTAGAATCAACATACACAAACTAATGCATCTTACTAGTCCATTAAGCCTAACGACCAAATTTAACAAACAACAAATAAAAAATTTCTAAAATTAGTTCCTTTGAAATAGTAATTGCTACACACATTCTAAATTTATACATGATTTTCATAAATCACTAAAATCGTAACCATCGTAATTGGTTATAATTGAAGATCCAATGTATGGTGCTCCATGAACAACTAAATCATCAGGCAATGGTCTCTCCTCAAGCATAGAATAACCTGTCGTAACACAACACAAATTAATATGTATACCACATGAAACTTTTTATAAGAAAACATAAATGAATCGAATAATTAATCACCATTGAGATAAGGAATAGGAATGTCATAATAGTAAGTGGAGGGTCTTCCAAAGTCTTGAGAGTATGGTGGAGACAGCACATCAAGTATTGCACATGAAGTCAATGCTCTAAAAGAATGAATATTTCCACCACTTCTTGGAAATAATATTGATGGCTCATTTGGTGCTTTCATCACTTCATCTTTTACCCTCCCCGCCAATCCTACTACAACCACACACAACAATTTTCAGTCTTTTAGACATGTCTGATGTCAAATACATATTGGTATCTGATACTGACACACCAAATCACACTTTACTATAATTTTAGTGTTTTTTTATATGTTTGGTCTCAAATGTATATTGGTGTTAAATATATATTGACACACGAGATTACATTTTATTATATTGTTAGTGTTTTTTAAATGTCAGGTCTCAAATACATATTGGTGTTGGTGTCAGATTGATGCTGGCTATATGATTACATTTTATTAGGGTTAGCTTTCTTAGAGAAAATATTTTTCTATAGACTAAAGTAATTATTCTTACTTGTTTGACCTTTGGTACTATTAAAATTGATCCAATCATAAGCTTTGACATAAACAGAACCATATAAAAGCTTGCTCAACACTGTCATTCCTGGATGGTCATGAAGAGGAAATTCTTTTCCTGCTGGAACACAGAACACACCTATCTGCACATATTCAAAAACATCATTAAAATAGATCGCATGATAATATAAACCATCATAACAAAATATAACTATATTTTTTCTACTTACCGAAACATCGTCACATTCATGAATGTGAATGTATGTTATTTCAGAGAAACTTTGTCCACAAAGCAACCTCCTGCTACCGTTATCAACCTTTGAATCTGTAGTAGGAGAATCACATAACCCGAACTCGTCGATTCCTACATCTATTGCTTCGATTTTGTCTGCAAATATACACACAGAAAAGTTGCGAGATAAATATTAAGACAAACAAAACATATACAAAATTTATATGTTAAAAATTCAGAAACTCACCTAACAGATTTTTAAGGTAATGGATTTGTTGAAAATTTGGAACATTTCCTGGAGAAAACAAAACATGGCAAGTATCATAAAGAGCTTGTATTTTGTTCATTTCCATTGTGTTAGTACTAAGTATAGTCCTAAAATTGTGTTGTGTGTGTGGAAGAGGAAGAACAATTTTTAAAGGGTGACATGAAAATAAAGGAAAGGACATAGAAAAAAAGAAAAGGGAGAGACTATGAACAATGTTTAGTAATTAAAACCTTGGGCAAAATTTGAATTAATATTATATTACAATGGGCTCCTTTTGTTTCAATTGTTTCTCTTTTGGGAAAGGGGAAAAGTTTGAAATAGTCATTATTTTGAAGATAAGTTTCCTACCCAGGTTTAAAAGTAAATTATGGGCTATAAGTATAAACAACAACAACAACAAAAAAAGTGAAATAGAAAACAGTTAAACATATTTTTACTCCCTGTATATCATAAAAAGTGTTTTATATACAAATTTTATTTCTCTCTTCACTTTAATATATTAATATAATATTTATTATTATTATATTTTTAGTTGCTTAAATTTATTTATTTATTTATAAAGTACAATTAATAAAAAAAATTTATTAAATATTTTTGGTTTAATTTTAAAATTAATATAATTTATTATTTTTGTAAAATCCGTGTGCAGTTCTATTAAGGCACTCTTTATTAAACAGAAAAAGTTATTAAATAAAGTATTTTATAATTATTGTATACAATACAACATGCCATACTTTTTTTAGTATTTCATTATTTATTTTAATATTTATAAAAATAGAATACAGTAATTAACTTTACATTTCAAAAGACAAAATAAAGAAAAGTATAATTTATTATAAGACTTTAAATTTATCGTCCTCTTATTTAAAATAAATGTTGTTTCCTTCTTTAAAAAAAAACTAGTAACAAATCGTGTTCGTACCAGTAGAGTAAAGTCAACAAAATATAAAATAAATATAAAATAAAAATTATATAATTGTGTTTAAAAAATATATATTATAAAAAATATTTAAAGTGGTGATTAATAAATACATATAAAAAAATTATAAATTTCGATCAGTCAAAAATATATATCTTAACAGAAAAAATAAATAAAATAATGTATTCGCAAAGGTCGCACAATGTTATTATAAATAATAAATAAATATAATATAGTTATAGTTAAAAAAAAAAAAAATATATATATATATATATATATATATATATATATATATATATATATATATATATATATATATATATATATATATATATATATATATATATATATATATATATATATATATATATATATATATATATATATATATAAAGTGGTCTCGATCCATCGAAAATATATATATTTTAGTAGAAAAATAAATAAATAAATTGAATAGTCATTTATCCATGCATTCGCACAGGTTGCACGATATCGTTATAAATAATAAATAAATATAATATAGTGATGGCTAATAAAAGTATATAAAAGATACACACAAAAAAAATATTTGAATTTATGATTGTCATATAAATATTAATTTAATCTACATGTACGTTTGCACGAATCACGCAATGTCGTTATAAATAGTCAATAAATATAATATAGTGATGGTTAAAAAATATATATAAAAAATATACAACATAAGTAATTTTAGTCCGTCAAAAATGTATATTTTAGTAGAAAAATAAAATTTGCATAAGTATATAATTACTTGTAATTTTAATTTTCATATTCTTAATATTAATTAAAATATATTATAAATATTAAGTTGTATTTTAGTTATAATGTAAAACTCGTTTTAATACGAATCTATTCAATAAGATTGAGTGAGATATAAAATCAAATTAAACTGTTTTTTTTTATAATAAAAACATTGATTGTAAAGAATAAAAATTCCTAATAACTTATAGTAAGAAGTATTATGATTTATAAATAATGTATATTGATCTGACCTGATCAGGAGGGGATCACGATATGGCCACGTGCTACTGGACGGTTACCTGTTCACCGGGGTGAGAAAGAGGAGGGGGGTGTACCTGCAAGACACTCTGATGCCAAAGTAAGAAGTTGGGCAGAGTGGAAGCAATAGTACAGAAAAAGGGGCAAGAAGAGTTACCTGACCCTCTTGAGGAAGAGGGTATTTATAGGGAGACCCCAGCGCTGGGCCAACGGTCATTTGAGGTGGGCTGGATGACCAGGCCCAACCCTAATGACTGCTAGGGCTTACGTGGCGTAGTGAAGACCAGGACGTGGTCTTCGCCCTAGTTCAACCGCTCCTAGATCTCCGGAAAGTGGGTTTGACCTGCTCTTTCGGAGGTGGGCAGCTGGCCGATGACGTGTCCCCGCGGAGGGGAGCACGTGGAGAACGTGCGCCGAGCACGTTATTCTCCCCGCGGAGGGGAGCCCGGGCGGTTCCCCGGAGCGCGTTATTCTCCCCGCCGAAGAGAGGAGCCAAGGGCCGCGCTTTGGTGAGCCGGGGACGGTACTGCCCGTCCGGTGTGGTGGACGACAAAAGGTTGTGGAGACGTAGCTTGTGTTCGGCGGCTTGCCCTGCTCGTCTCGAGGGGAGCACGTGCCTGGCGTGCCCGGTTCGCTTGTTGGGCCGCACGCGGTATTGGGCCTGCCGAGGTTGGGCCCATACCGGAACAGGAGCCCCCCAAGTCGAAGCTCTGGGGAGAGAGCGAGGACTTAAGGTCGTCGGGCACTCGCACGAAGATCTCCGGTCGTCGGCAGAGCGGGGAGGAGGCAGGTGAAGGGACGCGACTGTCAGGTTGCCGCCACGTGTCTTGCGTTAAGCGGTCGTAGGGGCGGCTACCCTATGTCATTAATGAGCCTAGGGTCGCTTCGAGTCCCGCGTCGGGTTATAAATATGGAGGTCCCCGCTCATTCTGTTACTTTTCTCTCTGCTAAGCTTTATCGTCTCTGCTCGTCCGCCGCTTACCGCCGATCGCCGCCGTACCGTTGATCTTTTCTTCCGTCCGCCGCCGTTGCAAGTGAGCTCCTCTTTTCCCTCCCTTTTTATTTCCGTCGTTTAATTGGAACGTGTGGTCGGGGCGTGATGAACGCCCCGAGGAGGGACGCGAGTTCCGCCGTGTCTAGCGAGTTTTCTGATGAATGTCCCGGGGAGGGTAGGCTGGTTCCGATGAATGCCCCGAGGACGGGAGCTTTTTCTGATGAATGCCCCGAGGACGGGGGCTTTCTCCGATGAATGCCCCGGGGAGAAGTACCTTCTCCGATGGCCGTCCCGAGAGGGGGCGAGGGGTCGGTCTTTGATCCCCGATGAGGGTAGACGGGGAGCGAGTGTTTGCTCGTCGCTTCCCGGCTTTTGTCGCCCTTTCACTTGACTTGTGGTGGAAGGGTGGATTTGATCCTGGCTATCGAATTCACCGTTGTCCTCTGCTTTCAGGTGTAGATGTCGGCTCTGGTGCCGGGGATAATGGTCGAAGACAATGAACCTGAGGTTCCGGAGTATGACGACGAGCGTATTGCCCCGTCCGAGGAGTGGGCGGCCGAGGAGCCGCTTTCTACCCCTTCTTGCTTTGTGGCCGACGCGTCCGACGTGTACGCCACGGTCGAGGACACGCCCATAGGAGAGCCACAACACTGGCAGGTGTACCGGCCAAAAGAACATCACCGCATCTGCTCGCGATATGGGCGGCGGATGTTCCCGATGCATGAATTCTACTTTAAAGAAGCTCGGCTCCGGTTACCATTTTCCGCCTTCCATCTGGGGCTTTTTGACTGGCTGCGTCTTGCCCCGTCCCAGCTGCACCCCAATGCTTTGGCCTTCATCTGGGCTTTCGAGGTGGTGTGTTTCTACCTCTCGGTGGAGCCGACGGTGTCGTTATTCTTCCGTATCTTCCATCTGCAGCGGCAGACGGTGCACGACCGCCACGGATGGGTCTCCTTTAAGCAATCGAAAAAAAATTTCAAAGCGTATAGCGATTCTGTCAAAGACTTCAAAAACCGGTTCTACCTCGTCAAGCCGATCACGCAGCACGGCTCGGACACTCTCTTCGACGAGGGCGAGCGAACGGTAGATGGCCAGCGGTTCCGCGCGTGGCTTCCTAAGATACATCTGCTGTGGACCACGGAGCATTTCAGTCGAGGGACGGATAGGTATATCGTCCGGGCGGGGACCCTCGAGGAGAAGGACATGGCCGCCTATTTGAAAATAATTGCCTTTGTGTGGTCTCTCCCTCCGTCGAAGCTGGTGACGCCCGACGGTCGGTATATCCTTGACGCTCAGGGGAACGTACGCACCAAGAAGCGTTTGATAAATACTAAGACTTTGCTCGGTTGTGCGACCGGGGCGGCCGCTCTGGATTACCTAGGTAGGAATGTTCGTTTCCCCCCCCCCCCCCCCCCCCCCCGTGGTCGGGGTTTTCGATCGTCGCTAACTCTTTTCTTTATTTTTGCAGCGAACATGTCTTCCGTCGAGGAGCGGGTGAAGCAGTTGCGCGCCACTAGGAATGCCGCGGCCCCAAGGACGAGGGTGAGCCAGCTGGTCGGACAGGAGGTCGCGACGCCGGGGGGGCAAACTTCGTCCTCTTCGCCTCAAGAGAGCCAATCTCCTGTGTCTCAAGGAGCGTCGAAGAGGCAGAGGTCCGAGGAGCCTCGAGTGGTGGATCTGACGGTCGGCGCCGTCGAGGAAGGTTATGTCGTCCCTCCCTGCCACCAGCATCCGGGATATTTTCATGGTGCCAGTTCTCCCACTGTTTCCGCCGGGGAGGTGAAGGCTGTTCGTCAGGCCGATCGAGAGACCCGTCGACGTGTCCTGGCTGAGGACTTGGCCGCAATGATGCGGACATTCACGACGGCTCTTGTGCTGAACGAGGAGGGTTGCTCTGCTGCTGAGCTATCCAAACTGCAAGGGGATCTCACTTTCACGCAGTCGCGGTTGGCCAAGCTCACTGAGGAGTTGGAGAAGAGCCAGAAGGACGTTGCCGAGCAGCGGAAACGGGCAGAGGGCGCTGAGGGGAAGGTGGCTTCGCTGGAGGAAAAACTGGGGACAGCGACGGCCGAGGTGCAGGCGCTGAAGGTTCGCACGGAGGTTTTGGACAGCGCTGTTCGTCCGGCCGAGGACGAGACTGACGGGGATCGAC